TTGCTTAATCCAGAGGTTTCTTTGTCAGCATGAGGGCTTAATTTGAATCACTCCATTTTCCAGGCAGATTGGGTAATATCTCTTATGCAATGCAAGTTTTGTGAGAGTAAATTCTATTCCTTTAGTCAGTGGGGTTTTTATGATTACCCTCATCAACTATTTTCATTTACTCAGGCTATTTAGAGTTGAGTTCCTTGAGAGTTTGCTCCTCTATGGAAAAATTCATTCTCATGCAATCTTGCTCCTATTGGCTACCACCTTCAAGTGACTCCCATATACAGGTATTTTGCCTCTCATATCTTTCTGTTGTATTTCACTCTCTATTGAGTTCACTCTCTCTCTCTCAACTTCACCCTTTACCAGTAAAACCCTCTAATTGGCAATTTGCTATGTAGCACCAACATAGGTTATATGCCACAGACATGTCCAAAATGATAAATGGCTCATTCAGTTTCAGGTATTATCCATGAAAATATATAATTTTTCCAGAGGAGGAGCACAGATAATAATACATTCTGTAATATTTTATGTGGTGGCTCTCTCCTTGATATCAGTCTTCTGCTACTGTGTCCCCTTTAGCATTTTCTTCCAACAATTGGATGATGACGATGACTCTAGTGTTGAAGGAAGAAATATTGATGCAGCCAATGAAGCAAGAAAAGAAGAAGCAAAGAGATACTGGAATTCATTTGATGCAAGGGAGCATTTACAGTTTTACAAGGAAGTGTTGGAGCCAAAATCATATGCTTTTGCCATCCTCATCATAACCTCAGTTCGTCGTGATTCTAAGACAGATGAAATCCTGGATCTCCATTATCTGTCACAAGTTGCAGCTGGACTGGATAAGCAAATCTTTGAGAATGGCCTGAGAATCCCCCTTATCATGTGCAGAGTACAAGAATACATGAAGCCTCATAGAGAAGCTGAAGAACTGGGGGCATTTATACCTGTGATAACAAGGCAGAAAGATGCATTACTTAGCTCTCAGTTAAAGAGAAAGCAAGAAAGGCTAGATTATGTGGCATGCTTGAAGGAAGCAATGTCTGTTCTGCAAGTCGATGTACCCCTGTTGGTTCTCCAGGATGATGCCCTTCCTCATCCTCATGCTTTGAAGATTGTACAAGAAATCATCAATCAACTCTTTGAAAAAGGCTCAATCAACCGTGATGTTGCCCTTGTGAAATTATTCTATCCAGAGAAGTGGCAGGGATATGGACTGAACCTTAAAGGAACTTCAGAGCTACTGGCTTTTGGTCTCTTAGGTGCTTTCTGCCACATGTTGCTTCTCAGGTTTCTCAAATTACGTAATCTGACAGAGTTTCAGAAACTGATCTTCTATCTTGTTGGTTGTTCAGCTTTTATCTTTGCTGCTGTTGTCTATGGCCGTCCCAATGTCATTGAACTGAAAAGACCCTTCTGGAAGCTCTGGAGTCTTATACCAGCACCTGGTTGTTGTATACCTGCTGTGATTTATTCTCCCCGCCACATTGCAGGTATTGTCAATTATTGTTCCAGTGAAGACCTTGCTACTGCAAAGGAAGCAATAGATTTATGCATTGACTCTTATGTGAGAGAGATTGGTGCTAAAATGTATCTCACAGAACCCAATGCATTCAAACACATTGGGTTCCATTCCAGCCTTGGCGGTTCTAAAATTCCCCTTGAATTCCTTTGATGGAAGTGTTCTTTGTTGGTTTGACTGTTTTGGTGCATTGCAGAACAAACCAAAGAATTATCAGGAGAGATATGTATTGGCAGTAGTTTATGAGTGAGTTTGGTAGAATCTTGTCGAAGATGCCTTTACCCAGAGTTTATGCTGGCATTTTTATCTGATTTGACTAATGAACACGTTCAGTCATGTTTTGTTCTGTATTTTTTTCTGGAGATTTCCTTAGGAGGGATATAATTACCACATCTATTATGAACGTTGGTTTCCATTTTTGGAATGTAATGGAATGTATTTGCTTGGTGTATTGAATAGTTTTAATGACTTCTTTGAATTGAAGTTTTTGTTGTGGCCAGATTGAAATCTTTTGTTGATTTTGGAATCCCCATTTGTATTTGAGGCAATTTCTGGTCTCATGATTTCATGGTTTCTTTTTGTGTTTTTGGGTATAAGTTATGTCATTATTTACGATCTTGATTTTGATGCATTGATGATGATGCTGTCTCTGATGCTTCAGAGTTTAGAATATTGTTGCCATAAGTAATAGAAGACAAGCCTTCCTTTGAGAGGATCAGTACTAGTCCATTCACCGCTAATAATATCGGAGATTACTGTGATTTCAAACTGGTTCTACTTTGGTGATCAGGCAATTTCCTGAAGTCAAGGACGTGAGGCATAAGCGATTGGCAAAACTTACTGAGATCGAGGAGATAAGTGACTGCTGTGCATACAAGTAGAAACTCCAAAGAAAATACAAGTATCATTAGTTTGAGCCTTCATTCAATTTCTCCTCTTTAAAAATCTTATTTTGCTTATTTTCATTGCTATTAATAATTGTTGCACTTTCGATATTTTGTAACGTTGACATTGGGATCGGAACTGAAATACAAAAATCGACCGTGCGAGGAACACGCCCGTCGACACGAAAGAAAGGCTCAAAGAAACTTGCAAGGTTCGTGCTGCGGAGAGCCCGGTCCGTCTGCCCGGGCAGGGCTCTAGGCTTTCGAGAGAGTCGGCCCGGGCAGAGCTCTAGGGTTTCGAGAGAGTCGGCCCGGGCAGGGCTCTAGGCTTTCGATCATTTTTGTATGGGCTGAGAGTTTCGATCGAATTGGCCGTTTGGAGGATTCTCGCATTTTAATTCATGTGACTCGGATAAAATGATGTGAGAAATATTCTGATTGAAAGATTAAACCTTCCTTCAATCTCTAATTAATCTCTAATTAAGAAAATCGAAGGCTGATGGCTTCACTCTAGCGCGACGCTGAAGAATTACGCGGAAGGGATTAAACGGGTGGAAGCATTGGAAATTGTAATTCAATGCGATATTTTAATCGAATATCTGTTGATCCTTTCAAGCCGATAAAAAAAAATGGAATTCCATGAACTCACCGTAGTCTTGCAAACATTTTTGGCGCGGACGTCCAGAAAAGCCACGGGGAACGTCAAATCGAAAGTTTTCGAGCGGTTGAACGACGGACTGGCCCACAGTATCGATTCGTTGCGTTTTGGTTTTTCGATGTTTCTAGGTTCTCAAGGGTGGATTTTTTGAACGGAGAACGATCCGATGATGCTGCTTCATTTCCGGGAAATATCATGTATTTTCCTCGAAATAAAGCTGCATAATAATAATAATATTTACTCCATCACTCTTGCAAGACCAATTGGTCCGTTGGGTTCGTCATATCTGAAAACTACAAATATACATACTCTCATAAAGAGGCAGAAGGTGAAGAGAAAAATAGATAAATAAACAAACAGAAATAGATAAATAGAATAAAATAAGTAAGAAAGTAAACAGAATTGGACAGGACGCACCGAAACTGAACACATGAACAAAAGTATAAAATCAAAAGGGGTGAGGTATAAGAGAATGACGAAATGAGGAGAGTCGAAAAATAAATAAATAAATAAATATAAATAAAAAGGGGGGGAGGGAGGTGTGACTGCACCTTTACATGAGAGGAAACTCGAGTAAGAGGACGGTGGGTAAGTTACCCTGATGTGGGGTAGGAGGGGAGTTTACCAGGTAATATCAAAGAATTCTNGATGGGTTTGAAGGACCATAATACAATATAAGAAACAGGGCGTTCTTACGAGCGCTCGAGATTCTTATACCAGTTGTCGGCCAGGATTTTGAGGGCTTTTGAGGAGTAATGCGTAATGGAGGAGTAATGGATTTTCCCCATTAAGGTGTCAAATTGGTCGTCAATAGACTTGGAGGACATAAGTGAAGTCCAGTTTATACTCACAAGAAAGTTGGACGCCTTCTTGACGGCAGATGGGATTAAGAGGCGTCTGAAACTCGTAGGGGAGTAGGATTGGGTCTTGGTCTCCAGAGGGATGCGGAGGCAAAGTTGGTGATGATCAGAGTCATCATTAGGGACAACGTCTGTATAGATGTTGCAGGGAGATATGAAAGTAAAGTTGCTACAACGTTTTCGGGTCTGCAGGAGGAAGAGGGTTGCGTGCGTCTGCTGCCCACGGCTGCTGGAGAAGCACTGATATGCATCTTGAAGTGAAAGGTCGGGGGGAAGGGGGGATGTTCAAGCGAGAGGCGCTTTTCCATTAGTAGGTGGGGGGGAGGACGTCGTGGCAGGCTTTCTGGAGTAGTTTGGGGGGCGGGGAGGGCGGACACGAGTCTCCGCTAGATGCCATCGTCTTCCAAGGCGATGGTTTCGAGTACCTCACTGAAGTTGGGTGAGGGGTTCTTCCGGAAGGTAGCAGATTCAGATTTGAATTCATGGGCGCATTACTTAACCTTGGTTCTTGGATGTTACGTGAAGATGGCCGCCCATCGGCATCGCCAACGTGTGATCGGTGGCGAAAAAAGCTTCGATGTCGACGCGGCTCCTGATACAAAGTGATTCTAATTAACTTAATTATCTGGACACTTTTTTTGTGCGCTTGCCGAAACGAAGCGTGACGTCACTATGGGACGTACCGAGCATGTCGAGAAAAGCCTGTAAACACAGGCCACACGGGTGTCGCTTGGGAGATCGACTCGCAGCTTGTCAGTTAATTTGACCGCTCCAGTCGAGACGTTCGTCGCCGATCTGCTACGTTGCAGACTCGAGGCTGAGGTGTCGATCTCGACGAGCAAGTCGTGAATTGCGAAAGGCCTGTGGCCGAGCTTGGTTTTTCTGTCTTGCTGAATGTACTAACGTTAGGTGCATCTTGAGGTCTGGAATTTCTCGTGGAAATCTTTTTGCAAAAGGGAAGAGGCGTCATTCGTTCCTTCAGGGCCTGTCTCCTGTCGTCATCCAATGGTAACGATGAAAATGTTGTTTTGGTCCCAGAGAAAAAATTATTACAATTTTCTCAGATCACAGAGAAAATGGGTAAACATACAGATATTGGCAAAATACAAGCACACTTATTACATATCTGTATTTGTATTTTTTTTTTAGAAAAGTTTTTCTTTGGCAGAATTCATGTCAGAAATGCAGGAGTGCAAAATTTTAGATTTTAGCATATTCTTACTGTGAAGGCATTTGCAATTAATGAGTTGGACAGCCACATAGGCCAATGCCAGGCCTTTTCCATCCTGGATAGTAAAGTGGTCATTGATGTATCCTAGATCACTTTTGTCCAAATACCGTGTCCAAATCCAAGTCTGTTCATAGCCAGTATTCTTTCATGACCTACTGGATTGGTAAATGTCTTCCTGGCTCATTCAAGTACCACAATCAAAGCATAAACCTAGGTCAACTAGCAATTGGATTTTAGTGGTGTTTGGGGCCATTACTGTTATGGTTAAAGGGCCCATTTAAAAGTCTTTTTCACACCATGAGATGATAGCTCAAAGTCCATTTAATATCCAAAAATTATTATCCATATCTGTAAAGTCTTATGGTATTTTATGCTGCAAAGCTTAAGTAGGCCCATAGCTTCAGGTCAATATAGACATACCTGGCATAAGCCATTCCAGTTGGGACTGCTTCAGAGATTTGGTTCTGGAATGAGATTATTATTCTCCAGATGATAGCCTAAGAATGAGTAAAGAATGAAGAGTTGATGTTGGAGCAACCATAACAAATATAGCTATTGTTGACTAACACACAAGTTATTGCATCTTATGTCTTGTCAAGCCTTAGGGAGGCCAACAGTGTGCTGTTTATGTTTTGTTTCTGGTCATTCTTTTGATGAATTTCATCTTCAACTAGTTTCATTTGGTAAGAGTATCATGAGATGAGCCCTTTGAGAGCTTTCTCTGCTTTAACAAAAAGTTTGTTTTCTTACTTTCTGAAATCTACTTGAACATGATCAGGTAGTCATCAGTATTCTCATTTGGCTCAGTCTTTGCTCATTGGTGATAGACTGGAGGAATATTCTGTCCTTTCTCACTGATGATGTCGATCAGTGCAATGTAACCCAATAGGAATTGATTGGGTGCAAATTCCTATGTCTGATTCCAACTTTCCCTTTGTGCCAGATGAAAACCCCAGAAGAAGTTCCATCTCTTTCTGTTGTATTTGTAGGCTCATGCTATCCCCCCATAACTTCACCCTGTGACAATAAAACCCTATAATAGGCCTAATGCAGTATAACATCAAGATAGGTTACATACCACAGACTGATATAAGTGGCTTATTTTTTTTCAGGTGTTATTCATGAAAATATATCATTTTTCCAGAGAAGCAGCTTTAATAATAATTTATTCTGCATTATTTTATGTTGTGGCACTCGCCATCATATCATTCTTATGCTGGGATGTCCCCTTTAGCATTTTCTTCCAACAATTGGATGATGACGATGACTCTAGTGTTGAAGGAAGAAATATTGATGCAGCCAATGAAGCAAGAAAAGAAGAAGCAAAGAGATACTGGAATTCAGTTGATGCCAGGGAGCATTTACAGTTTTACAAGGAAGTGTTGGAGTCAAAATCATATGCTTTTGCCATCCTCATCATAACCTCAATTCGTCTCTCATCTGAGACTGATGAAATCCTGAATCTCGGTTACCTGTCTCAAGTTGCAGCTGGACTGGATAAACAGATCTTTGAGAATGGCATTAGAGCCCCCCTTATCATATGCAAAGTACATGAATACAAGAGGCCTCATAGAGAAGCTGAAGAGCTGGGGGCATTTATACCTGTGATAACAAGGCAGAAAGATGCATTACTTAGCTCTCAGATAAAGAGAAAGCAAGAAAGGCTAGATTATGTGGCATGCTTGAAGGAAGCGATTTCTGTTCTGCAAGTTGATGTACCCCTCTTGGTTCTCCAGGATGATGCTCTTCCTCATCCTCATGCTTTAAAGATTGTACAGGAAATCATCAGTCAACATTTCAAAGCTGATTTGCTCGGTCGTGATGTTGCCCTTGTGAAATTATTCTATCCAGAGAAGTGGCAGGGATATGGACTGAACCTTAAAGGAACTTCAGAGCTACTGGCTTTTGGTCTCTTAGGTGCTTTCTGTCACATGTTGCTTCTCAGGTTTCTCAAATTACGTAATCTGACAGAGTTTCAGAAACTGATCTTCTATCTTGTTGGTTGTTCAGCTTTTATCTTTGCTGCTGTTGTCTATGGCCGTCCCAATGTCATTGAACTGAAAAGACCCTTCTGGAAGCTTTGGAATCTTGTACCAGCACCCGGTTGTTGCATACCTGCTGTGATATATACCCCTAAACACATTGCAGGTATTGTCAAATATTGTTCAAAGGAAGACCTCCATACTGAAAAGAAACTGATAGATTTATGCATTGACTCTTATGTGAGAGAGATTGGTGCTAAAATGTATCTCATAGAACCCAATGCATTCAAACATATAGGGTGGCATTCCAGTCTTGGTGTTCCCAAGTCAGCCCTTGAATTCCTATGATGGAATTGTTATTTGTTGATTCACTGTTTGTACTGGTGCATCTTAAAATTAACCAGTCATGAAGAAGATACATAAATTTATATACAGGCAGCTTTTTAAGAGTAGGCTTTGTTGAATCTCATTGAAGATGCATGTTGATCTGTAAATGCAGAGTGATGATGTTTATGACCACATATGACCACTTAACATGTTCAATTATGTTCAAAATTTTCCAGAGTTCTTTCATTAAAGAAATATGATTGCTGTATTGATAATAAAAATTAGCTTTCCATATCATTGACTGTGAATGCTATAGGTAGAAATATTAATCAATTTGATGACTACCATTTATTGGAACTATGTTTACTTTGTCTGGCCAGAAGCATTTTAAGAGTTTTGGATTGCCCATTTCCATTGAAGGCCATTTAGATTCTAATTGTATTCTTATCTTGTGGTCTCATTGAATGCTTTCCGTTTATTTGATGTTTTCTATTTATGACTGTTTCTCATGTTTTAGAGGTTGTGATTGTGAAAACATGACTAATTTAGTACAAGTACAGTCCCCTTTGGGAAGTTAAGTGCTCGACTAATCCCTGCTAAAAAGTGAAAGCTTTCCAAGCATATTGTGATTTCAAACTGGTTCTGCAAAAGTCACTATGGTCAAGAAGATAAGGTGTTGCTGAGCATGAAAGTAGCTGCTTAAAGGAAAGCACAAGTTCCATCAATATGAGTTTACTTTAGTTCCATCCTTTAGTTTTTATTCACTTAAAAAACTCTATTCAGCTCGTTTGCATTGTGGGTTGCTTGTTGAGCCTATATACATGCAATTGTGCCCCAGGAGGTGACTTTTGTATTCATGGTTTCTTTCCTTTGAGAGTTTCAATAATTTACAGCTGTGTCATGTTTTTAGGAAAATACACCTCTTATTGTTGATTTTGTTTCCTCCCCTGAAGTTGGTTAGCACTATCACTGATTGTTCTTTGCTGAGTGACATGAAAGTGATGTATTATTGTGTTTTTTTTCTTTCTGCTGCATTTCCAAAAGAACATCAGTATTTTATGGAATCCTCTTTTTTTTTTGGAATTCTTGCAATGCATTGTTTATGAATGAATGATATAAAGCAAACACTATCTCAAAACCTTTTTGGATCTCTTCATTGGATGCTGCATTCACTTTCAGATCTCCTGTGTTTAAAAATTTCACTTGCAATAGATTCTTGATTGATTTAATGTGATGAAATTAGTCAGTATTTCCTGATGTATAAGCATAGAATAAATCAGGTATGCCATATATCATCATAACATGAGGGTTTAATTTTTGGGTTGGATTGATTCTGCTTGAAGTTGGAATTGCTCTTGTTTACTCTTTGTGCAAGATTGTCACTTTATTTTTGGAAAGACTGGAAATGATGGTGACTCTCATTCCAAGCTGTCATGAAAATACAGTTCACGTTCAAGCCTGTTCAGCTTTAATATGTATGTGCTCTTACAATCCTCAGTTATATTTTTTATTGTTGTGCATGACAGCCTTTCCACAGGCTAGTCTATGAGCCTGGAAGAGCTCAGTTGCACTTTCTCTCTCATCAGCCTTACCTTGACTTGAAAAACTCAAATTTTTTTTTTCATGTACAATAATTACATTTGTGTTTATCTTTTCTTGAAGCTTGCACTGTAGCAGAATTATTATCAGTCTCTTGCTGTAGTGCTCAAGAAAGTGGCCTCAACTACTGTTTCTTAATATATTTACTATGTGCATTGTTTTACAAAAGAGGACTTATTTTGTTTTTGTTTGAATGAAAGACCTGAAAGTGATCTGATGAGCATTTTAGGTGTTGATTTAGTGATAGGCATTTTCACATGTTTTCTTCAGTCTCAGGAAGATATCTGAAACAATATATTTTCTAGTGAAATTCATAACTGATTCTTCTTCATTCAGTAGCAAGAAGCTCAGTCTCACTCATCATGTCTGGCCGTGGCAAGGGCGGGAAAGTCAAAGGGAAAAGTAAGTCCCGTTCCAACCGAGCAGGCCTGCAATTTCCAGTAGGACGTATTCACCGTCTGCTGCGTAAGGGAAATTATGCTGAGCGTGTCGGAGCAGGCGCCCCAGTTTACTTGGCAGCTGTGATGGAATATCTTGCTGCAGAAGTCCTGGAGTTGGCTGGGAACGCTGCCCGAGACAACAAGAAGACTCGAATCATTCCCAGGCATCTCCAACTTGCCATTCGAAATGATGAAGAACTCAACAAGCTGCTGTCTGGGGTCACCATTGCCCAGGGTGGGGTCCTCCCCAACATCCAGGCCGTTCTGCTTCCCCGCAAGTCTGAGAAAAAGCCATGAAGGGGCAGAAGGCCCCTTGTTAATGTTTGACCCATCATTGTTTATTATAATATTGTTTCCAAAGATGAATAGCTGAATTTCTGAGTTTATCTTTGTTGTAGCCTCTCTGGATATAATTTATGTGCTCTGCTGCTCTAGCAGAAGACAGGGGTTTGCCTGAAGGGACACCAGGCCAATTCTAAATATGTTTCTTATTCTGCATTTGTTGTACTGCTGCTGCAATCCTACTGCTATACCTATTTTTCATAATTTAAATAGGAGCTATAACATTTGTCAAAGAACAAAGCCTCTCTAAATAAAAGTGATGGTTCATCATGTGTCTGAGAATGGTGGTCCTAAGATTTTAGTACCTCTCAGGTATATGAATTCCAGTTGTTTGAGTGTTGGAAATCTGGTAAATGCCAAGTTAAAGCCTGCTGAATAACCCCATATGGGGTTAGTTCCTGAGTCAAAGAAGGCTCTGCTTTGCATGAGTTTCCATCAGTTGTTTTTTTTACTCACTTTTGGTGATTTCATATTGCAGAGGTTGGGAAATTCCCTATCATGACCTTGGTATTGCTGATTCATCTTATTGTTTGTTGGCTTGCCATGATGAAACTGAAAAGGTTATCCTTTGAGAGTGCCTTTCTATTTTGTATTGATATGATTTGCTCTGTTGAGGAACTAAGTCCCTTCTCTCAGGTTTGAACAGGTGTGGGTCTAGTCATGTCATATGGGCAGGTGGATAACATGTACCGCCCTATGGCAGGGGATTTCTTTGAAGGGGTTTCAGACGAAGAGGAGTCTGGTACATCTGATGAAGAAAACATCCTCACAGATGCCCTAGAGACCAATAGACGTTCTCCCAAGACTTCTGTTAAGTCACCTCATGACAAGTGAGCAATCCTGTCTTAAAACTGCAGGAGTGATTTACCAGCTGCTAATGAGACTTGTTATGCAGATGTAAAGCTGTTTGTGCATGGGTATGTATGAAGTTTGCATTGATGATTAACCTCATCACTAGCAGATTTTGTGACACACTACTAGAGAAACCCAAGAATTTATTGGGCATACCAGTGAAGGGATTAATGGCTGCATACATACTACAGTTTGAAACTTTGTAAAATTTTAATTACAAGTCATAGATGATGTGGTTGACTTTACGTCTGCATGGCCTTTGGAAAATTTTCAACCAAACAAATTTATTTTGAATTATTCATTTACAGTCACCAGTATAGTACCTATGCTAAGACTGTAAAACATGTAAGATTGTTTTACATATTCTTATTGCATATTTCATTAACCCTTTCATGGTCCAGTTTTTCTGAAACCTACCTGACACACAACTGATATTTTCATGCATAGTCATGAAAGGGTTAAGAAGGTTTTCTGAAAGTTTGAATAAAATATTGGTAAAATCCACAGTTTCCTTATTAATTTTAAAAGTTGATGCAACTTTCCAGTATTTTACAGGAAAGTGCTTGACTGTCAAAGTGTAACATTGCAATCCTTCATTGAGGAGCATGGTGAAATGGATGGTTGTCCCATCCTCCTTCCCACCTCTTCTGGCCCAATATATTCCATCTCTAGGCAACATGTATAGTTTACTGCTAACATTTCTTGGGGATTTGCTCAGCCACTTTACCGCATAATGTTCTTTTCAGGTTGAAGAGTGTGTATATTGTCTTCTATATCCTTGGGGTGACTTCTTTGCTCCCTTGGAATTTCTTCATCACTGCAGATAGTGTAAGGTTAAATCTGAAGCATTTCAATTTTTATTCAATTATTCTATCTGACCATATGATATCTTTATCACTTCCCATGCAGTACTGGATGTACAAATTCCGAGATGTGAATTCAACTGACCCTCTCAATCCACATCACAGAACAGGACTTCAGGCATCATTCCTTGCTTACTTTGGTATTATTGCCACAGTTTCTGGGACACTCTTCCTCCTCTTGAACCCATTGTATTGGCAAAGGCAAGAAAATATTTCCAATTTTTCGCATCCACTAATCCAAGCATATTCACTTCAATTATTATATTTTAATTTTTTTTAATGTTCACTAGATTCAACCTACATACACGCATCCTTGGTTCCATTGCTGGTGTCCTTTTCCTCTTTGTGGTCACAACTGCACTTGTCGACATTGATACAGATCACCGTAGGTTATTTTAGGTTTTTCTTTAATTTTTTTTCTGCTAGTGATTTGTCAGTCATCCTGCCTGAACTAAAATTGCTTCATTCCTTCCCCGTAGATGAGATGATCTTCTTTACTGCTACTTGTGTGATGGTGGCTGCTATTAATGGTGACTTGATAATTTTACCCTGATAATATATATTATTTAATGAAAATATTCCAGTTGAGATAGATTTTGTGTGGTCTGTTTTTTCTAGCCTTCATCTCCCTGCTGCAAGGTGCAGTGGTTGGAGTGGCAGGGAAATTTCCCCCTGAGTACATGGGGGCTGTTGTCAGTGGTCAGGCAGTTTCAGGGATCCTGGCTTCTATTGCCAGGGTTCTCTCTCTTGCCTTGGGAATTTCCATCATCCACTCAGCATTTGTTTACTTTCTCTTTGCTGACATCTTCCTTCTTGTTGGGATGTCCCTCTATCTGGGGATCTTTCGCACAGTAGGTCTCAAAGTTGGAAATTACCTTCTAGTAGGGCTGATTTATTTATTTTTCTGTCCTATCTAAACTTGCACTCTGTAACAGGCATTCTTCAAGCACCATCATCGGAAGGGCTCCATGCCAAATCTGGAGGTCACTTCCTCTTCCATTCAGCAAGTTCTGGCTCTGCGGAGTTCCAACAGCTGGTCCAGCAACTTGCTCACTTTTCGCAAGGCATGGATAATTTCTTATTTTACATAAATGAAATAGATATGTAGACAAACCTTTGGAGTTTTTTACTTTTGATCATCAGTAAGAAATAAAAAATTTTATTGACCTATAAGATGAGGATGTGACAAGAAAACTCTTATTGCCAATGATTTTAAAAATTACTCTATGATATCCTTGACTTTATTCTCTCTAGATACGTTCGCTGGCACTGAGTGTAATGTTTGTATTCACTGCAACCATTGGAGTGTTTCCTGCTGTCACAGTCTTGGCTGTTTCTTCTGCAAGAACCTCTGGTTCTTCATGGAGCAGTGAGTATATATCATGAATGAGTTAGAGAAGTCAGCCTGATGGCTTGTTAACTTGGAAAAATCATCCTATTGGTTGTGATAAGGGCAACTGACCAACAGGATGGATTTTTTCAGCAGGCTAACTTCATTTATATAAATGGTACCTAGCATGAGTCTTTGAGGTGAAAAATGAGAGTGCATTGTTCTTTCTTTCAGATGAGTACTTCATCCCTATTGCCTGCTTCCTCCTGTTCAATTGTGGGGATTTTTCTGGAAGATTGGTTGCTGGCCAACTGAGATGGGTAAGTGACCCTTTGCCTTTGTATTTTTTTCTTCAGGCATATAATGGTGCTTTATAATTTTGCAACATAAGGATGGAAATTATATATATTAAAATTTTGATGTGGTGTTTCCATTCCCACAATGCATTCATGTGAAAGGAATGCTTACTATTTACTATAGACTTGTCCTTCAGTTGCCCCTTGTGTCTCAGAAGATATGGCATGCAGCATGAGTTTTTAACATGTTCTTGAAAACCTAATGCCATCCTTCATGGAACTCGTGTCTGTTTTTCTATAGGAGCTTATGATTGTCCCATTCCAATGGGATTTAGAATCAATATCCAAATTGGCATCCCAGTGGAATGTATCTTTAAATTCAGAGGGGGGGAAATCTACTTTCCTACATGAAACAGCATTCCACTACTGTCTCACTTCTCACTATACAGGGTGGTACAAAAGTAACATGCCCCAAACACAGGAAATGAATGCTAAAAGCATTGGCAATGGCACATATTTGCTTCGTTTTCTACCATTGCTCCAAAACAAACTCTTGTTGGTCTTTTGTCAAACGATGAGTCATTATAAAGTCACTCTGTAAACAAACAAAACAAAATTAATTAATTCAAGTATTTTTTTTATGTTGGGTACAAGTTACTTTAGCACCACCCTGTATATGCTCCATTCTTGCAAATCCTAGAAGCTTCTTGGTGTCACTATCTGTAGTCAACTCTCATGGGATACTCATATTGGATATTGTGCTAAATCTGCTGCCTGTGTTTTGGCATGCCCCATCTACAGGATGTCCCATAAGTCACTATCCTATTTTAAACTGCTATATTTTCCAAACTGCAACATTGATGGAAAGTAGGTTCTTTAGAATTTTTTTCAACAATAAAGACTTGGAATCAGACTCAAACAGAAATTGCTTCAAAAGCATATTAGAAAAGTTCACTCCTTTAGGGCAATTCCTGGTACACCTTGTTGAATCCTCTTCTTCAAAATTCCTAAGCTTCATGTTATTCTCTCCTAATTTCAGATAGACTTGAACAGAAAAAAAAATTCATTAATTTAATTTTCTTTTGCTGTCATGAGAAAAAGCTTCACAATGTGCAATGAAGAGAGTTGCCTCCTGAATGGAGGTCTTTGAGAGCCCCATCAGAGTTCAAAGAGAGTTTGGCAATATTTTGGTGCCAAGCCGCATGCCAAATGTATAATGATATAGGCAGAGGACATTTTGAAGCACTTTCAAAACACAGAAATATCTCCATTTTTTGACAAAGATAATTCTGAGTGACATGCTATCATTCAGTTAATGTTAATTCTTTTTTGTGCCAACTGTTTAGTAGATGTGAATTTTTAAAATGGTATAGTGAGATTTGGGACACCCTGGATAAGGCATTTCTTTCACTATAGCTATCTAGTTATTCAACAGGGTTGTTTTTTTTTTTACCGTACTATGGAGTATGCCTCTCAATTAATTGGAAGGTTGCTCTATCTCTACATCCACTCAGAGAGGAGTTGCTTTATCTATACACTTCCACCCTCTTGATATAAATCTGTCATGCTTTCTCAAGATACTTGGCTTCAATATCCTGGACAGTATTAGATTTCATCCTCTCCAAATCCATCCTCACGACTCTGCTCTTATCTCTTACTTCTTTCATCTTTTATCTTTTTACTTCTTGATGATGAACTTTCTCTGCTTCCTTTCCTCAAACCCTTCTCAGACAGAATGTATGGATTGGTCTCTATGAATTTGTTCTTCTGAACTTAGTCTATCCAAAGCAGAGATCCATGAGGTACAGATTCCATCTTAGAACAGGATCCCTATTGAACTTATTTCTGATGTTGTGTTCTTTCTTTTAATTTTCCAGTTTCATAGGAAATAATTTTTCATCACTCAGGGAATTGACAATACCAAAGTGTTGCCCTTTTCAGGGAATTAAGAAACCCTGGTTGTAGAACTCAGTCTTCTTGCAGTCCTATGGGGAAATGTTTGTATCTAATTTAAATATTTGTTTTTCAATAGCCAAGTATTCATGGAAATGGAGAGAAATGGATCCTGTTTCTGTGCTGTGCACGGCTTGTGTTCATCCCACTGTTCATGTTCTGCAATCTCCATCCACGAGCTCACCTCCCTGTGCTCTTTCCCTCTGACTGGTTCTACGTCTGCTTTATGCTTCTGTTTGCATTCTCCAATGGCTATCTCTTTTGTCTGTCCATGATGTATGCCCCAATGTAAGTTACCACCTGTGTTTCCTAGTCATCTTTAAATACATTGGCCCTAAAACACAATTTGGATGCTTCCCTCAATAGGAAAGTGACGGTAGAGGAGCAGGAGACAGCTGGGAACCAGCTGATGGCTTTTCTCGGCCTTGGGTTGTGCAGTGGTTCCATCATATCGGCCTGTGCTGTTAAAATGCTTTGAATACTTCTAAAGAATCCGAATCTCATGAACAATGAGAGAGACCATCTTGTGATGTTTGTGTATATGGGATCTGAAAGGCTGACATTGCAGGGGAGACCAAAGTCCTTTGTCACACATGTATATCAGATTAAATGTACATGGACTGTCATAAAATAAAATGAACAACTTAACTTACAAGATTTATGATGTACCAAGAACACATTTTGGGACTCTTACCTTAAATGTCCCTGCACTGAAAGTTTTGACATGTGTTCTCTATCATTCTTTGCACTCTGGGTGATACTTCTCCAGATGTGATGGGTCATCCAGCAAAGCATCTGTAGTGTGATCATCAGCTGTAATTATGCAGAGCTCTTTGTTTCAATAATGTACCATGGTGACTTCTTTGATGATGTCTTGTAGACTACAAGATGCTTTATGCATCAGTGATACTATGGTATACGTGAGTGATAGGGGACTTTCTGTCCATCCTGTAGTTACTTGTTGTTCTGTGATATATTTTTTTTAATGAAGGATTCAGCCCTGGTAATAATGGCATTTTCTTCCAGAGTTTTATCTGCTCCCATTGTGTCCATTTTTTATTAGTTTCATGTGTTCATGTTTTATTGTTTTTTGTATGGTGAGCAATTAGTCTAAGGACATAAGTCTTTGTGTTTCATGATGTGTATAGGTGTGTTTCATTGGTAATTTGCCTCTGAAGTTCAGAGAGTGAAAGAAAATGTGAATAGTTGATAACCGTATATGAATGCTCAAAGTCATGACTGGGTTTTTCACAGCATTTCAAGTCATCCTATGCATGTATTTGCATTAGAAGGCTCTTTTATAGAATGTTTTCAAGAATTAGTTCCTCGTGTTCTAAATAGTGTGTTGAACCAGGAGGAAGCCAAAATTAAGAAAAAAAATTCCTAACTGGTAATGGAACTGTAACCAATACTATGGTAGATATATGGACCAAAATTTGAAGCGAAGCAACTGTTTTACATGAGTATAAGATTTTTCATTTTCTCTTTTTTCCATTTAGAGATTTCCATGCATTTTTTTTTTTTTTTTTACAGGAAAAAGGCTTATCTGTTTCTTGGAAAAAAAAAATTTAAGGAGAAATTTCCTATTTGTTGATTCATTGTTATTCATTTGTGAGGAACCAATATGGTTTACTGTCTTGTCCATGTTCATGCTGTAATAATTGCAATAATGGCATAGTATTGCCAATCTGTGTGGATGAGTTTAGGTCAGGCATTATTCAGCTTTCCTGTTTGCAGCTGCAAATAAAGTCCAACTGCTTGTAGAAACAGGTCTCTTTTTACTTTTGTTAAATGTAAGGGTGTAGGTTCTAGGAAGGGGATTGATAGATTTCAATTATCAATAATTTAGAAAAAGCCTGGCAGTGAAGTGAACCAAAAGCCTAAATGAAAATGATGGGGATAGGAATATAACCATAACTTAACCATTTTTCATTTGCTCCAATGGCAAAGGCCAAATCTACTCAAATTTATTGTCCACACTTGAGTTGTGATTGTGTGGTGAGAAACCTCATCTTTCTTCATTTCTTATCTTAGAAAATTTTACTGTGGAAGTATCATACAATGTCTTAGCAGGATAGGGCTATCTGGAGTGTATGCCTTTGCCTATAAGATGAAAATTAAGAGCTTAAATTCAGTTTTGCACGATATTGCTACTTGCTGATTTGCAGTAGAGTACAAGAGGAATGTATTCTCTGAAATCAAACCCTACATGTTTTCATGTATTTTTCCATTGTTCTTGTTGAATTGAAATGAATTTCTGGCTGTCTGAGGTACTGTTGTTTCCTCTTGCATATATATGACACCCAAGTAAAGCCATACCCATGTCTTATTTGAGCTTTAAGGATGTGATTTTAGAGGGGCCAGCACATGCAATAAGGCTACTGCAATAAGGTGAAGTAAATCAATATTGCATGCTGCTTGAAGGCAGCAATGTCCCTCAAGATGGGCCTGGCTTCCCATCTCAAAGCGTGGCAACTGCCACTTTCATGAGGTTTTCAACATTATTTAGTCCATGAATGCTCCAGCCTCATTCAGCTGGTATATGTCACATTGAAAGTCATTAGCTGTGACATTTTCTTCTTGTCTTTTGAGGTGATGGACATCCCCTCCAAGTTTGGGAAGATCACCAAAGATGTGATCAAGGCTGGCTGTGGTGTGGAAAGGCCACAGGTGGCATCAAGATGTCGAGTCTGTGCTTCAGCCTGGACCCTCCCACCAGACAAGTTCCTGCAGGGACTTGGGTCATACTCGAGTCGACCTTTGACCTTGACTGATACGGTTTGGGAAGTGATGCTTGGAACCTGGAAGCACGAAGTTGATGTCCTCACCGAGGAGGCCTTGATGTCCATGCAGACAGATGAAATGAGCACTTTTCACTGTCAATTCCAGACTTTTGAGGATCCCATAGTTTATATGGAATTTTCTGTGACCCTTCACCTCCTGTCTTTCACACCTGGTCCCCTCATCTGTGATCTGCCTTTTGAGACTGCATATGCTGAAGCCCTGAAGTTCAAAGACAGTGGAAACAAATTCTTCACCGAGTCACAGGTCGTCAAGGCTTTCCACTGCTACAGCAGAGCCCTCAAGCTCCTCGTGCCTCATGGCTCGGAGAAGCCAGACGCGAGAGTTCTGAAGTTGAAATTGTACGGGAACCTGGCCCTCTGTCAGATGCAAAAAAAGAACTGGGAGCATGTGCTGCACCTCTGCGACAAGGCCATCGCACTGGATCCCAGTGAGCCCAAGCACCATTACAGGAAAGGTGTTGCATACATGGAGAAAAAGAACTTTGAGAACGCATCATCTTGCTTCCAGAGGACGCTCGAGCTCGACTCGAACAACAGCACTGCCAGGAGGAACCTCGAGTTGGTGCAAAGGGAATTGAAGAAACAGGAGCAGCAACTGGCCTGCAATTTGCAGAAGCTTTTCTGCTAAACGTTTCCCTTTGAATAAGTTCTGATACTTTTTGAGAGCAGGATTTCATTGAGCAGTTTGCAATGATTTGTTCTCTTATTGTCACATTGAATTTTTTTATGTTGCTGGTTCCATGAGAGCGTTCTAGCTGTCAAATCGGTTCTTAATATATTTTCATGTTTCTCATTCTTGCTTATTTATTTTTTTGGGGGGGAAAAAATTTTTTGTTGTGAAGTTATGATGGTTATTGGGTGAAGGGGTTCCTCACATTTCCCTCCAGAAATATTCCAACTTTATATTTTCACCCCAAGAAGATGCCTCCAGGAATGGAAGGCAAAAAAGGCTCATGCCTTCATGAAGGCATATTGAATGCTTTTACAGAAGCGCATAGTTTCATGCTTTCCCAGCAGTTTTTGTGATTTCTCGGTATAGAAATAATGCGACAACCTAATGCTCGGGAACCCATAAAAAAAAAACTTGAAAACATTCTGAGGTCCATCAGTCGCTGTGGCAGCTGCGGTAGCCATCTTGATGATCTCCCATTTTACTTCTTCAAAGAAATTTCATCCCAATACCACAACGTTCGAATTTAAGCAAAGTCGTGCATCTCCTCATTCTTCAGCACGATAGCCGACATTTTCAATGCTTTATTTTTTACTTTTGCTTCCAGGAAAGGAGTAATTAAACTTTCATTACCTCAAAATTGCGGAAGCCATTGTCAGGGTTTCACCGCATTCAGGTGGTATTCGAGCACAAAGCACCTTACTGCTTGCTTCCCTATTCCTTTCAAGAGATTCTTAGAACTTTCTCAGGAGTGATACGAATAAGAAGACAGACGATGTGTTTCCCTCAGGAAATGTTTTCAGAGACCAAGAGCGAAGGAAAGCCCGAGTGAAAGTCTTGAAGGTCTTCGATCCCCGTTGGGAAGATGGCAAAAAAAAAGGAAGAAAAGAGGTCGGGACCCGAGAGAAGAGAGAGACCCCCATTCACCCAAAATACGACGCTGCGGGAATCCCAAGGCGAACCCGGAGACGTCGCCCGACCCGCTCGCCTCGCCCTCCACCTCCCGACTGACACCCCCCGCTCGACCTCTCGCCCACTCGACCGCTGCTGCCACCTGTGGCACGGCGCCGCACCCCTCAGCTTCCCCTCATTCGTACGGCAGGGGGCGCCGCGAGCGGACCACACCGCCCGTGCGCTCAACGTGCAGTGCAAGTTCGTGTCAACGAGGATTCTGTCGCTTCCCAGGTATGCCAAACGTGCAAAATCAATCTCGAATTTGCAGTGGCTTTCGTCAGGCTGCTTCAGGAGGAATTCATTGACGTTAGATACAGCGAACGAATTTATTTCGTGGCGGGAATTTGAACTTCGCAGCTTCCGCGTCAAATTCGTATATTTAGTTTCGGTCTGAAGAAGGATTACCTCCGGGGTGTTGCCCCGCTTCAAAAGGCAACCGAAGTCAAGTAAAAACAGTAATTTTCGCAGGAAACGAGTCCCTGGGCGCGCCCGATCGCGGGGGAAAAAAGTGCCCGGGCGTCGCCCCGCCCCGCCCCGCCCTCGAAACCGCTACACCCCCGACCGACATCTTCATCGCCAAAAATAAGAATCCCGCCAACTCCGCCAAAATTTCCCCCGCGACCTTTCCTGCTCCGGCTCATCGGAGCGAGCCGATCGCGACGAGACAAGCTCGCGGCTGCCTGAACAACGAATAAAAATAGCATTATTTTTTTCAGCCCACTGAATTTATTATTATTAATTTCGAAGAAAATTCCGAGTTGGCCCTGTAAAACTTCCACTCAGGCGCGCGCGGGCCCAGGCGCGCGCAAAACCCAGGCGCGCGCAAAACCCAGGCGCGCGTGGACTCAAGCTCTTGCGTCGTTTCGCGGAATTTTATTCTTCCCGCGCGACGAAAATAATTGAATGAAAGAGAATCGATTGATCGATGAAGTCTCTTAAATGAAATCATTTACATTAAATTCAAATTGAATTCTTTCTTCTTTTTTTTTTTTATTCGGCCGGGGAATCCGTGGATCATCGGAATTAGAGCTAATGTGAGTTTCAGTCCAATCAAATCCGTAATCATGCAAATTTGCATGCCGTTTTTTTTTTTTTTTGGGGGGTGGGGGGGTGGAGGGGGGGGGG